GATCACGCGTCCTCAGTGTTGGATGGTAATTACACCCAGAAATGCTCCCAAATGTTGGGTTAATTTTCAGCTGCCTAAGATTTTCCTCTTAGAACAACAAGGCAGCTTAGACTTAGCTAAACAACTTTTGGGCAGCTAAACATTACACGAGTCATATGCAACAATGGACTTCCTAAGAAAGTTCTTGGGAGCGTCAGCTTTCTTCGACGCTTGAGGGGACGCCGCATATATTTGTGCATGACACATATTTTCACATTTATTTATTTTGTGTGGGGGTGAGTTGTGGAGTAGAGGTCAAGGGGATGGGAGGAAGGCTTGTGCCATGATATACATATAGAGTCAGAGGACTACTTTTGGCAGTCTATTGGAGGCTGGGGAAGGGGTGTGCACCATGATGCTCATGTGGAGGTTAGAGGACTACTTTTGGAAATCTCTTCTCTCCTTCCATCCTGTGGGTCCCAGGAAGTGAGTCCCAGTCAGACTTGACAACTAAAGTACCTTCACCCGCCGAGCCATCTTGCCAGTCCAGCTTTCACTATTAACGACATCCTTAACCCAGTCTGTAGCAAAGCACTTGCATCTCATCAAAAATGGCGTCCAATCTGCTCACAACTTCTTCTTTGTCTTAAAATTAAATAGTATGTGCCATTTCCTCTCACATTGTATTATGTGCTATGTGGGTCTTTGACCCTTACTGCCTTCTTTTATGTCTGCACCTCTGAAAGGTTCCTTTGAACTTTGCTGCCCAGGCAGAAAGTCTAAGACTTAAGCCGTCGGTGGGAAAACACAAAAATGAATCACGAAAGCCGATGTATCATTTGGGAGTATGGAAAAACAAAACAAAACTGAACATTTCAAGTCAAAGTAGACAGGGACCGGCGTCTAGGACTGAGGAAATCCTTCTGTGTGCCTGCAGCCCCGGGAATTGTCACCTCTGGCTTGCTGAGGCAGCAGCACCAACCACTCCCAAAAGAGAAGTTTGTTGAACACTTTGGTCATGTGTTCAACCTGGTATTCCGTGCTTGGAAGATGTGCATGATAGAAACTGAGTGTTGAGCCACACTCCTAGGGATTTTTCTTCAGTGGAGGAGACAAAACCAAGAATCCGAAGCAATCAGACTACAAACACGACATTAGATCTCTTCAACAACCACTACTGGCTCATCTGCCACAGTAGCCAGAGCTCCTCTTTCTCTCTGTGAAGCAGATTGGTGATGCCCAATGAGGGCCACAGACATGGTGAGCCAGTGCCTGTCTGTGAAGGCCACAGACATGGTGAGCCAGTACCTGCCTGTGAGGGCCACAGACATGGTGAGCTAGTCCCTGCCGCTTCCCAGAGCTGACTGATATGTTCATCTGGAGTTCATTATGAAATACCAATGTGTCTGTTCTAATTGCACTTAATTTTAATTATGTAACTCAGGTCAATATTTTTGAACCTTTGAAATAGAAGTGTGAAAATGAGTATTTTATATGAAAGTAAGTATGAATTCCTATAGGAATATAATAAAACTGTGACACTTAAGATATTGCTGTTGAATCATGTCTTGGCAAAGCAACTATAAAACAGAAAAAAACACTATGCAAAGGTCAGCAAACTGTTCCTAAATAGACATAGAAAATATTTTCAGATTCATGACCAATATGTCAACATGGATTCTGTCACAACTCTTATCTGGGTCATGAAAGCACAAAAGCCTTGAAACAAAATATTAACAGCATGCGTGCACACAGAATCCACACTCAAGAGACTGAAGCGTGTGGAGGGCGAGTTTGAGGTCACCCCGTCTAAGGAGAGACCCTGGGAAGGGTGGGGGAGGGGAAGGAGGAGAAGAGAGGTGCCTGCATTTAAAGGGAGTGGGGTGCTGACTCTGTGGGCACAGCACTTTCCACACAAATGTGAGGACTGGTGTTGTGAAGGGCAAGACTAATACAAAAAGCTGGTGGTAGCCTGCCACAGTGTCAGCATTCAGAAGGTGAAGGCAGAGGATCCCCCAGAACAAACTGCCTAGTTAGACTCAACATGTTAGTGAGTTTTGGACTCAGTCAAGAGACCCTGCCTCAGTGAACAAGGTGAAAAGTAATTGAGGAAGGCATCTGCTTCTTCTTCTGCTTCAATTCTTCAATGCTGCTTCAGGTCTCTACATCCATGTACATACACATGCATGCAAACCTTCACACACACACATACACATTACAGACACTTGCAAAAAAAAAACAAGCAAAAAACTTCCATTTATGAACACTGAAATTTGAGTAGTATACAATAGTCTCATGTAATAAAGTGTTATTCCTTATTTTTTCAACCATTTTAAAGATCTAAAATGGGGCTAGGTTTGTAGCACAGTTGGTAGAATACTTACATAGCACACACAAAGTCCCGGGTTTGATCTCTGTCATGCTTTGAATGAGAATGTGCCCTATGGGCTCTGGGATCTGAATGCTTGGTCCTCAGCTGGTTGAACTGTTCAGGGAGAAGTAGGAGGTATGACCTTGTGGGAGGAATGACGTCACTGGAGGTGGGCTTTGAGAGTGCCAGAGCCTCTTGCTGTCACCAGTGCATTCTCTCTGCTTAGTGCTTGAGGTTCAAGATGTGAGGCCTCAGTTTCCTGCTCCTTCAGTCATGGCTTCATTTTCCAAATCTGGACTCTAACCCTATTGAACTGTCGGCCCAAATAAGCTCTGTCTTCTCTAGGTTGTCTTGGTCATGTTGTTTCATCATAGCAATAAAAATTAACACAACATAACCTCAACACAGCATAAACCAAGAGTTCGCCTGTAATCCAGCACTGGGGAAGTGGAGGCAGAAAGACCAAAAGTTCAAGCTAAATAGCAAGACCAAGACCAGCCTGAGATATATGAGACCCTATCTTTAAAAAAAATCTAAAATCTATTTTTAATTAGACACGCGTGTGCGCGTGCACACACAAACCTGTGATATGCAATGGCATACAGTAAACAGTTCCACTGCAAATGGGAGTGACAGGAAAATAATATAGAAAGGTAGACTCAGGCCACACTAACCCGTGGCCTCCCATCATCAGCATCTGGGCACATGGTGCCTAACGTGGGCTCCAGTGGATTTGGGCAGTCCCACCTTTATGGCTTTGCAGTTTAAAATCCACCCAGTCTCTCTATTGACCTGGGGCCACACTTTGTCACCACCTTCATTCAGCATATACTCGTTCTCCCAGCATCTCCAACACCTTGAAGTTTCTATTGCAGTTTTGGCTCTACTGTAGGGTTTTTATTGCTATAAAGAGATACCATGACCACAGCAACTCTTATAAATGAGAATATTTAATTTGGGTGGCTCACTTACAATTTCAGAAGTTCAGTCCATTACTATCATGGTAGGGAGCACGGCAGCATGCAGGCAGACCTGTGGCTGGAGTAGTTGAGAGTTCTACGTCTTGCAGGCAAAAGGAAGTCAACTGAAAGTCACACTGAGGGAAGTTTAAGCAAAGGAGACCCCAAAGCTCACCCTCACAGTGACAGACTTCCTCCAACAAGACCACACCTCCTAATGGTGCCACTCCCTCTGGGGGCCATTTTCTTTCAAACCACAGGCTCTATCTACCCTCCGAGCTTTAGGCTTTATCTTCTCAGGCCTGCTTGCAGGGTATCTGACTCTTTTGACATTTCCTGGCTCCCTCACTTTCCTCTGACATCTCAAGGCTAATTTCTATGGCTCCTTAACTCTTGGTCTTCTTCATACTTAGAAAATTAGCATCATAAAAATTAGGCTAGTGCCTCCTACCATTTTATAAGGTAGTAAGGTCCCTCTGGACCACAGTAGCATTAACCTCAAAGTGCTTCGTGGCTGAGTTTGATGAACAAATATTGGTGAATTCCTGGGCAATGTAGACGCCCTAGAGGTACTCCCTTCTGAGAAGCAAGTCTTTCAAAAAAAGCTGAGCTCAATCCTGAGATGCCTTCAAGGCATCATTCCTGTTGGCCCAGTGTACCTGCATTCTTTAAACAACTGTCTCATCTCTTTGCTTCCCCCTTTTCCTTGGTTCCAGTTTTCACCATGCTTCTGTACATGCGTGTGCGTGCGTGTGTGCGTGTGTGTGTGTGTGTGTGTGTGTGTTTGGGTCAGGGATGGGGTGGGGGAAAATCACTTATTTTATTTTTTTTCCAAATCCTTTTCTTCTGTTTTTCCATTTTAATTTCTCACTGTACACATGGCTAACGGCAGCCAGCAATATCTACACTACAGTGTGAATGCTGGGCTGTCTTGAAATTTCCAAATAAGTCCGTCGTCATTTAACTCTGCATCTCACAGTCTCAGAAAGTCGTCTGCCATGGTGTAGCATGAAGCCACATGAGTACAGTCAGCACTGCCCTTAACACTCTCACCTGCTGAGCTCCCACCACAATTACCTAGTATTAAGCTCTGCTTACGCATGCTAAGACTTCTAGCCCACATTCTGAAAAGTTTTTGAATTCCTCCCAAAAGTCTGTTCCAAAGCTTTTAAATGACCCTACTCACCTGCAAGCAGTTTTCTGTTAGTCAGCATTTCTAGGTACTGTGACCAAACAAACCCCTGGGAGGGACAACGTAAGGGAAGGAGATCTTGCTTTGGCTCACAATGTCATAGTCAGATCACTATGCTGGGAGGGCACAGCAGGGGCATTTACACCATAGTGTCACGCATGGCACGAAGCAGAGACGGAGTGGGTCCCATAGCCTGCTCTTTCCTCTCCCCCATTTCCTTCCATGAAGAATCCCAGTCTATTGGATGGTCCTGCTCGTACTCAGGATGAGTTTTCTCTTCTTACTGTATCTGCCCTGAAATTACATCGCTCTCCTTCCACCTGCCCAGCCAGAGTAGGGCTGTACCACATCTGCAATTGTTTCTCCTCCAACCAAGTTGGCAATAAAGCCTGAGTTCAGGAAACCCCCTCTCTCTCCAAAAATGACCTGCATTGAGGATCGGGCTTGAATATATAAAATTGAGAAGATGGTAAAACACATTCAGTCTATAACAAATGTCTTCACACGATTTTGAACAGTTTAATACATATTTATAACATCAGCACTTTCTAGAAAGAGCCACTAGCTATTACTTCAAATTTCCAACTTAGTAACTACAATTGCTTCATTGCTTGCATTTTCTCGCCATTGGAACACATCAGGATATTTGAGCACTGAAGAATAAATCTTGTTTATTTTCGCTTATCTAAGAAAGTGAACAATCCTTTTGGGCATGCCTGCTTGTCACATTTTGGTAGCACAATTTTCTCACCTGCCCTGGCTTCTCATTGTCCTTTTTAACTCAGAGATGTACCAAGAAGGGAAAATCATAAAATCTATCTTAGTTGGAGAATAATTAAGAATATTCAGTTTAAATCAACTGTCTTGATAATTTTTGCTTCTCATTATTTTGGTTTTGACTTTTATCAAGTGTATAATAAATAAAAAAGTTAATGCTTTATATTTATGGATGATCATTTAAAAACTTCCTTTCTGCTACTTAGACATGAACTATCTTTTAATACAAGAAATACATCTTCAAAATAACCAAGAGAAAAGCAGTCGTATGATATAGACATCATGTTTTCTCTCTTAAAGTTGCTTTGACTCCTGCACAATGGCCTTACTTTAAGATATTGTGAAGGACGCAGAAGTCGAAGCCAAATGGAAGTCATCCTTCTGACAAGACGAGTGCTCAGGGGTGAGCTCAGGGGTAAGCATCCTGCTGTACCACTCCACAGGAACTCTACGGGAGGAAGCCAGACATCTCTGTTACGGACACTCCAGAATAGTTGCAGACTACTGCTTTGCCTCTCAGTCCTGGGGAGAGGAAAGCGGCTCATTGACAGGCATTGTTCAATCAGCTTATGGTAACGTGTTCCTTTTAACCTGAAGGTTTCTGTACTGGAGGCCAGCCATCTTGCTTGCTAAATTGTGTGTGGTCCCAGAATATCCAGCATGGAATAAAAGGCCAAGTTTCAAGGTTCAGCAAGTCAAAAAGAGCAATCACAATCTTGAGTACTAAGTAAGGTGACAGGGCATTCAAAAAAAAATTAATAAAAACATCTACACAGTTCACAAGCCTGAGGGTGAGAATTAAGTTTTAACCATAAAAGGAGTTTGTCATCACCAAGAGACTCGGTCCCCTGTTCATGACAAGAAAAGCCAATTCTGTATATGGTAATTGGCAGAAAAAAAGAACAAAAAAATGCATCAACCATTTTCTTTTGAGGATATGAATATGAAATACAAGTTTGAAGTTGGTTCATGTCTTAGATATGTTATTGATAGGTACTACTAAATAAGTACTTTTTTGATAGGTTCAAACAGGCACAAGTCACTGAATCCTAAATCCTAAAATGGGTAGGGATGGTACAGATGCAACCACATGACGTTGCCACCACTACCATTTTGCAATGTGGCAGCCATTAGGGTAGAAATTTATTTCACAGATTTTTTTTCCCTGCTACAAGATCCTGTGTGTAGTCTCCAAACTTATCTAGATGCATCCAGGAAACAGTCATCTTGATATATGTTTGCTATATTTGATACTTACTGCTATATATACTCTGGCCTTCCTCTTGAGCTACCAAATCCCTTAAGGGCCATGAATAAGCAGTCACTGCAGGTGGTACCTATAGAACATCCTGATAAATGCCACAGTGCTTGGACCTCACACAGTTTGGCCTTCACTCTCTGCCACTAGTTCACCACTGTCAAGGCTCAAAAGCACCACAGAACCATCCTCATTAGTACAAGTGGCAAGGGTGACATCCTTTTGGTCTAATGTAGCAGCGGACTTGGGGAGTAGACAGCTGCTCCTACATCTGCGTTATAGCTTCAAAGACTGTAGATACTATCTTTGAAACGGAACAGACCTCACACAATCCAAGCCACCAAACTGTGCTCAGCATTTTGGACTCAGGACTACAGTTTCAGCAGAACAGAGGCTCGTCGCTGTCAGTTTCACTTTAGGAAAACTACTCAAAGACTAGAGAAATGTGTCTAGCCCTGGCATCTGGGAGGGCCTACCTGTTTCCGAGACCGGCTTATGGAGACGGCCTCTTCCAAGCACTTCATTACTTTGTACAGCGAATAATGATCAGTCACACCAAGCCACCCACAAACTGCTGGGCTCTTCACAATACCAGGATTAGGGACGCTCTTCTTTGGACTTACTAGATTTCTTACAATCTTATTCTTTTCTTTGTTTTATTTTATTTTATTTTAGATTTTCTTTGAAGTCATCAATATTGATGATTGAGCTTTTTTCCTCCTTCAGTGGAGTCCTCTGTAACACTGTTAATGGAAGCTGGGTATGGCTGTGAATGCCTTTAATCCCAACACTGGGGAGTCAGAGGCAGGTGGGTAACTCTTCCGAGTTCTAGGCTGGTCAGGACTACACCGTGAGTTCCAGACCCACCATGACTAAATAGTGAGGTTCTATATCAAAAAACAAAGTATTACAGCCTCCTCCAGGCTCTAAGGCAAGCTTTGACCTCTGAGTCATCTGTGGAAAGACGGATTCCTTCTTTAGAAGTCTGTTTGTATGTCTGGGTCTTACTCCCTGCTCCCCTATTCAATTTCAAATATGTCTTCAGAGTTTGTATTACTGTTTCCTACTTTAAATCCATTTCCCTGGGCCAAATTCCAGACTCTCCTTCAGCCAGACATTCTTCCTCCTTTGTCAAACCTCAGTGTTTGATTTCATGACAGGTACATGAGTAAGTCGCCAGGTGCTTTGGTTGTGGCTGCTGTGGAGGCTTGTGCAGCAGGCTTGCTGGGGTCTGGAGTCGTGGGCCTCCAGTCAACAGCAAGCTGTAGGTTCTGGACTGCTCACTATCAATTGTGCCGTTTTCATAAGGACAACAGTCACGTTGGTCAGGGCTCACCTTAATGAGCTTCTAACTAACTCAATTACTTCTTTAAAGACTCTGTCTCCCATTAAGGTCTCAATGAGAGGTAAAGGATTCAATAGGTGGATCTGCGGGGAGGGGAGGAGGGGGGACCCTTCTGACTTTACCAGTGCTCTTAGCAGGGACTCAAAAATATTCAACGGGCAATCTAAATTTACTATTCAGCAGTAAATAGCAAAACCTTAGGGTAGCTTGGCATTGAGACTACAATTCTGTGTGTGTAAATGGAAAGCCAGAAAAAAGAGACGGCTGTGGTACAGAGGTGCCAGCATCAAGACAAAGTTAGCAAATGAAAGGAACTTTCTCAAAAGGAGGGCAGCTGCCGAGGGCAACCGAAAGCTTCCTGTAAAAGCTTGACTCTGGGACAGATGTGCTCAGTAACACGGGAACCACATAAATCGAACGTGTGCTTCTGTCTCAGACACCAGGCCCAAACTGAATGACCCAGGTCACCGGTCAAGATCTGTTCATCTGCGTGTCTCAGAGCCAAAAAATTCCCCAAACATTTTCATCATCTTTACGGTAACTGCTGGATGTCATCCACGTCTGCATTTCTGCTGGTGGGAATGAACGGGAGGAGGCACGCTGCTGAATGAAGCTCCCACCCCGGATCTGAAACATGTTACTTCTCACATTCCACTGATGAGGACAGTGGCCGGTTGTGTCTCAAGGGGGGGGGGGGGGGGGGCCCCTGTAAATGCAGTCTACTGAGCTTGAGAAGGGAAGGCTCCCTGGAGACATCTGGCAGCCCCTGTCATTCCCCCGTAAGATATTTTAATGTGAGGAAAAATGATTTCCTAGTAAGAATGAAGTTAGTGTCCTCTATTGAAGAGATGACAGTACTATTTGGGAGAAAAGAATCAGTGGAAATTTCAAGAGCTACCAAGATAAGGGTCTCTGTAGAGAAGTGTTGAGTTAGAACCACGATGAAGAAGAAAAACATTGGAGTGCCCCGATCCGTCAGAGCCATTAGAAACGGCTTCACACAGAAACTAACTGGCATCACCTTATTTAAATACTGATTATATTAAACAATAGTAGACCGTATCATTAGCTACCAATTAGCGAATAATCATTCAATTCAACACCTAGTAAAGCTATGGTTATAGTACTTATTTCCTGCAGTGTCTTTTTTCCTCATTGGATTTTGATTAAACGTTCTTCCGATTTCAGTCTTTGACATCATACCTCAAGAGAAACAATAAGTTTTCAAGCAGCAGACTGGTCGGAAATGATATAATACTGGAGAAGCAAAGAGGAAATATTAAAATAACTGTAAGAACTTATGTACCAAAAAGCTGCCCAAAGTAAAATGCTTTATCAGACTCAAAATGGAAGAGCCACAAAGCAGACTTATAAAAACACATAATCCGTGGGCTGTCAAGATAGGTCAGTGGGTAAACATGTGCTGATAGCTAAACCTGATAGCCTGAGTTGGATCCCTGGGCCTCACTTCATAGGAGAGACGCAACTCTGTGGGGTGTTCTCTGATCGCAGAGGTATGCCATGGCATGTGTGCACCCCCCCCCACATGCATCAACACACAATGAATGCTAAATTTTTAAAAATAAAAATACACAATATAATTCTCAATTATAACTGAAGCATAGTGCCAGAAAGGATAATTTTTTTAGTTGTTTATTAGTGTACCGAAGCTATGGAACACACAGGAGCCCCTCAGCAACTGCTCACATGAAGAATGAACAAACAGCTGTCTCTCCTTAAACAGCCGTGATGCTGTGTGACTGAACGCTAAGGAGCTGGAGGGTCGTACTGATGGTGACAGGCAGAGCAAGACAACAAAGCAACGTCGATGGCTATTGTCTTAAAATAATAAAAAGTTCACCTAGCAAATGATTTGAACAGTTCCATTACTAGAAATTTATCCAAGAAATAGAAATCCATACATTCGAAGAATAATTCATTCATGCAATAAACAGAGACGAGTCTCAAAATAATTACCCTCGGTGAAAGAGCCAGGCGCATTGGGTATAGGAAACTCTTGAAAATGCAAACTAACCCAGAGTGGCAGAAAGCCGACTCCTGGGGAATTGGGCACACAGGAGGGAAAGGTGACTCTAAGGACCAGAGTACTTATGGATGAATCACCGTCTTATCAGCTGTGGCCCACTTTGTGGTGCACACATGTCAACCCTTATCGGAGTGTAGATCACAAACGCAGTTGACATATGAAGGGAATATGTTAGAGAAAGCAACAAACCGTCTTTTATAATACCCTAAAGCTCTAATCACGGTGCCTCTCACTCCTCTTCATCCTCTTAATGGGAGCGTCCAGAATCACAATTTGCTGAACTGTCTGAGTAGATTGCTTAAATGGTAACTTTATCTAAGTACTTTTAATGAGGTCAAGCTTAAAGCAAACAAATAAAACCAATCAAAAAAAAACACCCCCTGCGTCCAACCCCCCACCCCCACCCCACAACAAAATCAAGCCAGGCTTGGAGAAAAAACAGTTAAAACAAAGATTTTCATTCGCTGAAGAAAATTATGTTCCCATTTATGATGTTGCTGACCTGCTTTAAAAAAGAAAAAAAAAGCTCAGTCACTTAGGACAAAATCAGAACAGAACGGGTGTGCTACCCAGAATTCCACGCTGTATTTACTTTGTATTGCTCCCCTAAACTGAAGTAGATTAATCATTTGGGTCCTCAACACTTGCATTGTTCTATTTTAAAGTTTGACTGGAAGAAGAAAACAGGCCGACAGGCTTACTGTGTCCATTGGTGATGTCCCGGGAACCCTGCAGAACATTGGATCCACTGGCAGAAACAGGCCTGCTTTGCAACAGAGGATAACTTATCAAATATTTTTGAGAAGGACTGCAAAGGAATTCCTGCTTACACATAATGAACGAAGACATTGCGATTGCTGCTGAATTCCAACCTAAGCCCCAACTAAGTAGATTTCGATAGATGAGCAAGAGAGTTTAAAAGTCTCCAGAGCACTGTGAGAAGCTTCAAAGTGTTGAAGAAAAGCTGTGTTCCTAGACGTCATCTTGTGCTGCAACTATTGCATGACCCAAGTGAAAACATCCTTCGCTTTTACATCCATTGTAACAGGAGCGTGGGCCCTTTTTTCATCCTGGCCACCAGGCTAGCTTAGCCCCGGAAATAATCACACAGAAACTGTATTCATTTAAACACTGCCTGGCCCATTATCTCTAGCCTCTTATTGGCTAACTCTCACATCTTGATTTAACCCATTTCTATTAATCTGTAGATATCACCACAAGGTCGTGGCTTACTGGGAAAGATTCAGCATGTCTGATTCTGGCAGCTCCATGGTGGTTTTCTCCTCTGCTTTTTTCCTCCCAGTATTCAGTTCTGTCTACTCCACCTACCTAAGTTTTGCCACAATCAGCTAGGCCAAGGCAGTTCCTTTATTCATCCAATGAAAGCAACACATAAACAGAAGGAATTCCTACACCAGTTAGTGATATCTGTAGATTTATGGAGCACCTGTTAATTTGTTATTTTTTTCTATTTTGTTTTTATTTTCTGAGACAGGGTTTCTCTGTGTAGCTCTGGCTGTCCTGGAACGCACTCTGTAGACCAGGGTGGCCTCAAACAGGGAGATCAGCCTGCCTCTGCCTTCCAAGTGCCACCCTCCCAGTCAGCTGATTCCTCCTTTGCCTGTCTCATGGCTAGATTTTACTCCAGGAAAGCTATAGCATTAGAGGGTTCAAATCAGCAGACATAAGAGCTACAAGGAAAGCCTATGCCCAGACACTAATTGTTCAGTTTGGAAAATGATTCATGTGCCCTAAATATAATTGTTGCCATAGATGATTAAGCCATACACTACTCTCATGATTAGAGATGGTAAGAATTTAGGTTATGAGTGTTTCTTCAGAAAACAGAATTCAGTTGGTTTTCATGGGAGGACACCGAGGAAAGGTATATTACCAAGGTTGCAGCCATGGATAATCATCGATGCTTAAGCTTCCAAGAATTAGTATCTGAGAAATTTGGTCATAGCTGGGACTGGAGAGAGAGTTCCGCAGTTAAGAGCACATACTGCTCTTCCAGAAGATTGGGGTTCAGTTCCCAGTACCCAGGGACCCATGACAATCACCAGCAACTGCAGCTCTGGGATTTCTTCTGGCCTCCTCTGGCGCCAGCACTCTTGTGCTCAGACCTGCCCCACCCCGAAACAAATCCGCAAGATTTAAAATCTTTAAAAAAAAGAAATACAGAAAAACGTTGTCACTCTAGGCCACGATGAGTAGGATAGAGCCCTTGAGAACGGGAGCCTCCGACGAGAACATCCTGGTGGGAATCTAACGCAGATCAGAGTTCCCCATCTCTGCTCCTGTATTATTCCTGCCCCACCCTGTCCCTAGAGAAGATACATTAAAGTTGATTAGAATTCTAATGGGATAAATGAACAACTAAAGATTGTCCGAGAAAAGATCATTCCACATCCCCTCATCCCACCTCCCTGCCCTATCTAGATCTCAGAACCAATCTTCATCCTCCTGGGGAAATAGTACCCCCTTCTGAAAACACAGGTTCTAGAAGAAAGGGGCTGCTCTCAGAAGGGCAGTTGGGAGTGGGGTGGAGTGGGGGTAGGGAAGACGTTTCCTGATCGCCTCCCTCTTGTACTCCTGGCAGCAGACGGCTAGATGAACTGTCCAGAAGGCCAGGCCCTGGGCCCAGAGCAGAGCAAGAGGATCTGGAGGAAGATTAAAAGGTAACACCAGCGAGTTCCCCACATTTCCTGTAACTTATGTGAGG